GTATTATGGCTGCCGTCCCCCTTGGGGGGGGTGACTTCTCACTTTCCCTTTCACTGTCCTTTCTCACCAATGCATGTGCTCTTATGACCAAAATCTTAAAAAAAAAAAAAAAATAAAAATAAAGACCCGCTTTTCAGGATGTCAGTGAGGATAAAGGGAGAAGCGGTTAGGGAGGGATCTGTGGATCTGTGGCCATGTTTGGCACCTGGAAGGATCTGGAACCAGCTAATGAGCACACACTGGTCCCTCTCCCTTCACTCCTGTGCACAGCCTGGACAGGCCAGCGTGTCACTCACAGTCCCATCGGGGAACAAGCACTGTGGAGCTTCCTGCAGAGGCCTGGAGGTCCTCTTGCCCTGGTCTAGGGGTCCTGTGGCTGTCCTTGAGAGCCTCTCCAGAGGCCCTGACTGGAACACCCCTACACCTCCACAGACGGCAGCTCGTGACCACTTTATGAGACAGGCCGGGCAACTCTGCCTATGACCAAGGCTTCTTCCCAACCTCTCCTTGTCCCCACCCACCACCCGCCAGAGCTCTGCTCAGTGCCCCAAAGCACCTCTGCCTCCCGGACCCAGCTGTGGGCCACCCAGAGACCTGAGGCAGGACCCGGGGCTGGCGGAACTTCAGACAGAAGAGGCTGGAACGGAGGTGGTTTGTCCCATCAGTGGCAGCATGACTGAGGGGCCAGAGGATGTCTAGGTAGCCCTGGCCTTGCCTGTCCTGCGAGAGTCAATGTCAGTCTGAGGGTACTTCTCCCTTGACCCTGGAAGGGTCTCTTTCTAGTAGCTTCTCTCCAGTGGGGGCCAATCTTGGCGGGTGTGTTCTTGAAACCGGCATGGAGGGCAAGTCCAGGCCAGATCTCGCGGAAGCCCCGCCCGCGCGGCGGCCGCTGGGCCCCCACCTGGTCAGTCCTGCTGGTGCAGAGCTCTGCCTGGCAGGGCTGGGGCTCCCCGGCAGGCAGGGGGCCGACCGTCGCTCTCGGAAGTCAGAGCAGGGTCGCGGCGCAACTCGCAGCAGCGGCGCAACAGGAGCCTCAACTTCCTCCGCCACCGCGCCGCCCTCCCCTGCCTGGCGCCGGGAGGCTGTTTTTCCGCTCGCTGGTGCGCACGATCCATCCCTCCGCTTCCCTCTCCCTTTTCTGGAGTTAAATTTGTCGGGAAACGTCACCGGCCCCAGGCCCTGCCACTCTCAAACGTCCTGCTCCTGTGCATGAGCGCCGGAGAGCGCGGGCGGAGGAGCCCGGCAGAGGAGCGCGGCGGCCTGCGGCCACCGGCCAGGAGTCTCCCTGCACTCTGCACCCGGCGAGAGCCCGGCGCAAGGAAGCCCAGGCCACCCGCGCCCGCAGCAGGCCGCAGGTAAGGCAGGCCCCTCCCCGGGGTGTGCCAGGTGTCGGAGGAGTGTGGCAAGGCCGGTCCCAGGCTGCCTGGAGGGCCCGTCCTGGGGAGAGGCCCCCAATGTAGGCAGAGGAGTCCTGTCCCCTCCCCTGCAGCCTGTCTCCCGTCCTGATGTTGGAGGGTGTCCTACTTGGGGCCTGGGGGTGGGGCAGTAGTGTGACGCTGGACCATCCTCTGCTCACCCCAGCCCAGGCATCTTGTGCTGCCTTTGGGCTGGCTGATAACCCAGGAGCCCCCACAAGGAGCCAATTAGCAACCCAGAAGCCAGGAAGGGAAGAGGAAGGGGCAGAGGGCTGCCCATCCGGCTCATCGCCGGCAGTATTACGAACTCCCTTTCCCAGGAGCTAGACGGGAGCTCCCAGGCCATGGGCTGGGAAGAATCGGGCTCCTTCTCCTCTGCCTCTCCTCTTCCTCTTCTGGTGTCCACATGGCTACATGGTTCTGCCTGGGTCCATCATCTGGCAGGCTTTGCCGAGACAGGGAGGGGGTGGTGTGGAGAAGAGGCTCAGAAGGAAATAGAGACAGGCCTCCACACCTTTGCTGCCCACCCGGCTCCTCCCCTCCCCTCCCTGCTTCCCCTGGCCTGGTGGTTTTTGTCTCAAGATCGAGAGAGGGATGTGGGGCCACACCCGGGCTGTTTCTCAGGCTTGTGTGGGCGGAAACTGGGGAGGGAGTTGAGCTAAACTTTGCTGGAGCCTGAGGCCTGGGCACTGCCTGGCAGGTGGCCAGCTGTGCCGCATCCCACATGCCAGAGGGAACACAGCAGGGTCTGATGGACGGGGCACCGCCCAGCCTCAGCTCTCATCAGGACTTCCTGCTGCTGGCAGGTGGGCGGGCTGGGCCCTGGGCTATGACTCCAGAGCAGGCCTGCAGCAGGAAAGGGTCCCAGCTGAGGAAGAAGTCAGGGATCTGGTCACAAAGACAGCACAGTCAATAGGAGACCGAGAAAATGGGGACTCGTGGAGCTTGGACTCACCCTGCCCACCTCCCCACCTGTCTCCTTAGGTGGTGGCCAGGAGTCCTGCCCAGCCAGCTCCGTATTAGCTGGCTCTGTGTCCTCTGCAGCCTTAGATTTTTCCAGGCCGGAGAATCATGCCCACCCTGAAGACCTGACAGGGCAGGGAAATGGAGGGTCTCACACGTAGGGCAATCGTCAGGCACCGTTTATTCCTTTTCTCTTCCTTCCGACGTCCCTGGGAAGAGAGCAAGGGCCAGCATGACTGACCCCCTTCTCACAGAGGCCCAGAGAAAAGTCCTGACGTACCGAAAGCCAGAGTCTCCCTAATCCAGTCCAGACCCTGGTCTCCAAAACCAAAGGTTCTGTGAGCTTCCGGGGTGCCAGTGACTGGCTGCATCTGGCTCCCGGCTGCTAGGAGGCCCCACCCCGGGTCACACGCTCCAGTCCAAGCCCCTTATCCACCCGGACCCCCCACTCCAGCTTTTACACCCATGGGGCTAGCGCCTTCAGGACACGGCCTCCAAATGGCACGACCTGGAAGGAAGCCAGAGGGCAAAGTGGTCACAGCCCTCCTGCCCTACACCGCAGGGCCATCCCCGACCCTACCTGAGCGAATTCTGGGGGAGCAATAAGAACCTAAGAATGGGGTGATAGACCCGAGGACACGATGGTAGGAACCCACGAACAGGGCTGACAACCATTCCCGGGGCCCCGGGCTCCTTCCACCCCCAGCCCGTCCACACTGCCATCCTCCGCCATGCCCATTTTCAGAGGCAAACGCTTATCTGTCGTCTGCTGTTCCACAGGAGGCACCAGGCTGGCTGTAGAAGACAGGATGGCACAGCTATGCCCTGCCTTCAGGTACCCACCAGCCCACACTCCGTACTAGTCCCACCGGGAGCCACCAGTCCTGTCTCCTGCCTCCGCCCTGCAGTCGGACTCCCAGTCGGCCTGTCACCATGGCAGCCCTGATCGCAGAGAACTTCCGTTTCCTGTCGCTCTTCTTCAAGAGCAAAGATGTGATGATTTTCAACGGTCTGGTTGCACTGGGCACCGTGGGCAGCCAGGAGGTGTTCTCTGTGGTGGCCTTCCACTGTCCCTGCTCGCCGGCCCGGAACTACTTGTACGGGCTGACAGCCATTGGCGTGCCCGCCCTGGCGCTCTTCCTCATCGGCGTCATCCTCAACAACCACACCTGGAACCTGGTCACCGAGTGCCAGTACCGGAGGACCAAGAACTGCTCGGCTGCCCCCAACTTCCTCCTTCTGAGCTCCATCTTGGGTCGCGCGGCCGTGGCCCCAGTCACCTGGTCTGTCATCTCCCTGCTGCGTGGTGAGGCCTATGTCTGTGCTCTCAGCGAGTTCGTGGATCCCTCCTCGCTCACAGCTGGGGAAGAGGGCTTCCCACCAGCCCATGCCACGGAAATCCTAGCCAGGTTCCCTTGCGGGGAGAGCCCTGCCAACCTGTCGGGCTTCCGGGAGGAGGTCAGTCGCAGGCTCAAGTATGAGTCCCAGGTAAGGAGCTGTGCAAAGGGAGGCTCTCCTCCCTGCCCTGAGGGGTGGCTGGTGGGAGCTGCTGGGACAGCCCAGTGTTAACGTTGGCCCTCAGGAATACCAGCAGATGGTGTAATGCTTACATTGCTGGACTCCCACATAGTTGACCATGGTTTGAGTCCCAGACCTGGTGGCTTAAAACTCATACTGGGTGCATATGCATGCGTGCCCCAAATCCTAAGAGAATGGAGAAGGGATTGAGGCATGGCCATCTTCCCAGGGGGGTGATTTCTTGCTTTCTGTCTGTCTCTCTGGGGAGCACACACACCCTATAGCAAAAATCTCTTTAAAAACAAACCACTTGGGGACCAGCAGTTAGCGTAATGGCTATGTCCCTGGACTCCCACGTAGTCGACCGCGGTTCGCATCCCGGACCCGGTGGCTTAAAACTCATGCTGGGCACGTGTGCATGAGTTGTCTCTCTCTGTCTTTCTGGTGAGTGCACATGCCCTATTACAAAGAATCCTCTCAAAAAAAAAAAAAAAAACCAAAAACAAAACAAAACAAAAAAACCCACTTGGTCCTCAGGGACTCCAGAAAACACTGCCGTCTCAGCATCAGGGATCAGAGTCCGTTACCTGTGCATGAGCACGTGGGGCAAGGGCTAACCTCATCCCAACCTAGTTTTTGTTTCTAAATCTTTACTACAGGGTTCATGCATTCACCAGAGAGGGAGGCAAAGTGAGAAATCACCCACCAGGGGAATGGCCATGCCACCATCCCTTCTCCATTCTCCTCTCAGGATTTTGGGCACCGTGCACACACAGCTAGCATGTTTCTAAGCCTCCGGGTTCTGAACTCAAACACATAGCTGGCCGTGTGGGATCCAGCACTTGAACCACCGGGGCTGTCCGCTAAGAGAGTTTTAAACATTAAAGGAAAGTTCCTCTGGCTCAGGCCTTGATCTCAGTGGCAGAGAAGTCCCTTACCACAGCAGACTGAGCACAAACCCCTGCAGGCAGGTAGAAATACTTGCGATGGGCCTTGAGTTGAAAATGGAAAGTGGTTGGCTCCAGAGACAAGCGCATTCCTATCCCAAGAAGGGCCCGGACCCAGCACTGAGTCAGTGTCAGGCGTTGCTGCATAAGAGGGGTCCCTTGGGCCAGGGAGGGTGTCGAGGCGGGAAGAGACAGCTGCAGCCCAGATCCTAGCCTCAGCCTTAGCTAAGTGCTGGAGTGGCGGTTGGTCGGGAAGGGAGAGGGTACTGGAAGGGAACTGGACAGTAGCAGAAAATCTGAGCTGGGAATGTTAACTATTCTCGTCCTCAACAGGCTCAATCCATGCCCATGTTTGAGCCAAGCTCGTGGGTGATGATGGGAGAGGAGCTGGGATTCAGGGAAGGCACCATCAGTCCCCAAGGGCCTCCGAATAGGCTTCCTGGGAGTAGCCCCTGGCTGAACCGGGTTTGGTGGGGTGGTAAGGGACCCTGGGGCTGAAGGAGTGGCAGCAGAAAAGAGGCCAAGTCCAAGAACAGGGAAAATGTGCGTTAAAGGGAGGAGCTGGGAAAAGGTGGGATCACAGCCAGAGGGGCCAGCTTCCTACAGACGCCAGGCAAGTTCCACATCAGGCAAGTTCGGAGGGAGCTGGTGCAGCCCAGCACATGCCTCTGTTCCTCCTACCGCACCCCGGTGGGCGGCCGGGCTCCTTGCCGCCCCTGAGCCCTGCCCATTCTCTGGCCAGCTCTTTGGGTGGCTGCTCATCGGCGTGGTGGCCATCCTGGTGTTCCTGACCAAGTGCCTCAAGCACTACTGCTCCCCGCTCAGCTACCGCCAGGAGGCCTACTGGGCGCAATACCGCACCAACGAGGACCAGCTGTTCCAGCGCACGGCCGAGGTGCACTCGCGGGTGCTGGCCGCCAACAACGTCCGCCGCTTCTTCGGCTTCGTGGCACTCGACAAGGATGACGAGGAGCTGGTGGCCAAGTTCCCGGTAGAAGGCACGCAGCCGCGGCCGCAGTGGAACGCCATCACCGGCGTCTACTTGTACCGCGAGAACCAGGGCCTGCCGCTCTACAGCCGCCTGCACAAGTGGGCCCAGGGTCTGGCCGGCAACGGCACGGCCCCTGACAGCGTGGAGATGTCCCTGCTCCCCTCCTAAGGGCCTGCTCCCCATGCTCTGTAGACGGCACAGACTCAGGCCCAGCCTGAGCCCCGGTGCCTGCTCACTTCAGGATCAGAGGGGATTTTTTCAACCAGTTTCCTGGGCAAACAGGCCAGGAGAAAGGGACACAAGGCCCCCTGGGAAGCTGACCGGGGGGCTCTTAGACCTGAAGAAATCCCCTCCTGCTACCACCGGCCTACAAGGCCAATGGTTCTGGAAAAAAGACCCCTTCCCAGGCCTGGTCTTTAACTGATGGTGATGTGGGTCACCCCTTCCTGGGACTCCACGCCACGTCCACCAGCCTGCAGAGCCAGTGGCAGGCCAGCCAGCAGCGGGCTCCAGCGTGGTGCAGCCCGCTTATGCCACTTGCTCAGGGACGCCCGGCTCAGCAGGACCGCGCTGAGTGGCCCTCGGCGCACACCTCTGGCCTTTTTATACTTCCACTTTCATAAAGCTTTTCTTACTATAAAGGACTGGCTGGTGTCTGCATGACTGAATGGGCCACGCCACAGCAGACTGGTGGTCACGGGGTCAGGCCCAAATCCTGTGGTAGGAGGGAAGGGGACAGGACTGCAATGGACCTCGGTAGCACCAGGTGTCCCACACGGGGGCACTGGGGCTGATGGCCTCAGCACCTGGAGTCAGTTATGATCTGATCTGGAGGCAGATGGAGCCCTGCCTTTCTCGGAAGAAAGCTGTATGTGAAACCGAGTCCAAAGGTCCTGCACTCAGTAGGACTGACCCAGTCCCCACCCCCTCGCCACACCTCTCTTCTTTATCTGTGATACGCCGTGTGCACACGCGAGCGCACAGGATCTGGTCACGCCCCGACGCCCCCAGTCCCTGCTGCTGGCGCCTGCGTACTTGTGCACGCCTGCTATTTCTCACCCGCCCAGTCGGGGTCCACACTGCAGGCCCTGTGGGACTGGCTTTCTTTGGGTAGCGTATTGTCACTGTGCCACACAGCTGGTCTCCCACACCCTGTGATACTCGCCCTTGTCCCTGTCCTGCTTCCTGGCATGCCAGGCATTTCCTATGGAAACCTCTCCAGCTCTCAGTTAGGGCCCTGCCAGAGAAAACTCAATTTCAGATACTCGCCCTTGTCCCTGTCCTGCTTCCTGGCATGCCAGGCATTTCCTATGGAAACCTCTCCAGCTCTGTTAGGGCCCTGCCAGAGAAAACTCAATCAATTTCAAGACCAAGCCCCAAACACACTAGCTTCAGTACCTGGCTGGGTGTGTGTCAGCCTCCAGGGTCCCCACACTAGTAAGGAGAGCTACTCACCAAAGCACATGTGTGGGCCGTTGCTTCCTGTCAGCAAGCCAACCCACCCGCCATGCCAGGAGCCCCCCTCCCACCAGGAGCCGGAGGGACATGCAGGAAAGCATGTGACTCTGCAGAGTCTCACAGCAGGTCAGTCCTCGGTGCAAGGAGGGGAGTGACAGAGCTCAGCAGCCTCCTAGCCATCAGGCCCAGGGGCAGCTCATCACATCCATTTTCTCGCTTCCTCCAGAAAATAATCCCTCAAGGTAGGACTTTTTAACCCCATTTTACAAATGTACCAGTTTCAGAGGTCGGGTAAGCTGGCTGTGGTGGGCCTGGCAGGTGACAGCACGGGGGCAGCTCTAGCCACCTCAGGCAGCTTTCCCTGGCAGTCCTGGCTTCCCAGTTCCCGGCCAGGCTCTGCCGTGGTCCTCCTGTCGCAGCCTCACAGCCTCCACAAAAGGGAGGAAGGTGTAGCTCAGCTCCCGCTTGGGGCTGTCTGGTCTCCCGAAATCTCAGGGAAGGGCCCGCTCCCTGGACCCTTCTGACCCCCTCGAGCTGGACTGAATCTACCAGACTGAGAGATCCAGACCCAGGGTCCTGAGGAGTCAGCCCTCTGCTCCTGCTCCCCAGGAAGTCCCCAGAAGGAGGACACTCAGCTTTTCTGGGGGTCCAAGAGCCAGAGCCTGCTGTTACAGCCTCAGGAAATGAAAAAGATGATGTAAATTGGTACTTGAAACAAAACAAGCAAAGAGCAGTTAAAAAGCAACCTCAAGTTCTTTTCCATCCTGACAGGATTACACCAAGGGTACTGCAAAAAAAGCAGCATTGTAAATAGAGCCTCAGGCCACAGGTGCCCAGGTCTGAGTGGGGCCGGCCCACCGCTGAGTGTCCGCAGAGCCCCCAGCCGCTAGCCCTCCAGCACCGAGCTCTTGGCCTCCACGTACTCCAGGGCCTTCGCCTTCACTGCCTGTACATCCTTCTCAGTGCCGTGCTGCTTTTCATAGTCCAGGTAGCGCTTGAAGAAGAACTTCATTCGCTTGGGGGCCAGGCTCAGATGAATGACCCGCTCAAAGATGTCCCTGTGAGGAAGAACAGGGCAGCCCTTGCCTCCAGATGCCATCCACAGGAGCCCTGACTAGCGCTCACCCCCTGGTTCTCAGGCCCAGAGCCAGGCCCCTCTGTCAGCCAGCATTCCCACTTCTATCTTTATTCTTACTGCCACGATGAGTTTCCCATGATGCCCTGGGAGAGAGGTACCACCACCCTAATTTACCAGATGAACAGAGAGACCCAGAGGTGATAAAGGACCTACCCAGCAAATCAGGACAGAGACACTGGGATTGGGGCACACAGCTGGGCATATGCATAGTGAGAAAACCTCAGCTTAAAACTCGCTGGAGGCCTTGGGTGGGGCACCTGTTCTTTCTGGAGCTCAGTCCACCCATCTCTAACCCCGCTGCCTCGTAGAGAGGCTGAGGCACTAAAGAGCGATAATTCCTGGGAAAGTTCTCTACTGCCAGAGCCAGGCAGTAGTAATTATGGAGACACAAGTCTCCTGATCACCCAGGCAGGGGCAGGGCCACCTCCCACCCCCAGTTCCAGACTCAGACCAGAGAGAATGTGGAGATAGAAAAAGCAGTTGGAAGAGTAAGTGCCTTCGGACCTGGGGTGTTGTGTCTAGACTTGAGTAAGAGAACTGGGGGTTCTGGGAGCTCCTGTGGAGCTACCACAGCACCCCCGCCCCACCGGGATCAGCCTCGGTGTGCCTCCCCTCTCACCTGACGTCCTTCTGGCGGCCATACTTGATGGTCATGTCGATGTAGACGGACCAGACATCTGTGCGCTTCGGGTAGGTGCTCAGTGTGTTCTCAAAAATGGCTTTGGCCCTCTCGGGGTCCCCCAGCTGGAACTCAAGCTGGGCAAACTTGGAAATTACATCCACGTCTGCGGGGAAGAGACAGAAGGAAACAGTGAGCAGGCAGGCCCCCTGGCACAAGGCGAAGTGCTGCAGGCACGTGGGTTCAAGACCTGGACTATGACAAGAGGGACAGAGCCCACACGGACAGTGGTGGGTGCGAGGCTCTCATGCACAGCTGACACCACAGACAGGCGACCGGGCCAGAAGAGGTGGGGTGTCCCAAGGCTGACGGAGTGGGTGCAGACTACTCTGTCCCTCCATCTGTCACAGCTGAACATTTGCAACGTAAGATGCAGTTACACATGTGAGCATGCTATCCACACGGCCGGCTACGCGCACCCCACGTGGCCTTCCTAACCCGATGAGCCGGAGACCTCCAGATATCCCCAGACATCAGAGAGCCTCTCATATGGGCTCAAGAGAGAGCCCGAGCACTCACGCTCCTTGCTGGGCAGGCACTCGAGGGCTCGCTGCAGCACCCGGTGACTGGCCCCGGCCTGGCTCTGCCGCAGGAGAAAGGCGCCGTATTTGATCCAGACAGCTTTCTCCTGCCGGAAGCGCTTCAACATCCGGTTGTAGAGGTCGCCAGCTTCCTGTGGGCCAAGACGAGGTAGGCTGAGGAGTGGTACTGGAGGGGACCACACAGATGGGCAGCAATGCTCGTGAGAAGTGGGACGTGGCTCACGAACGCCAAACCACTAGACCAACTCTAGAGGCCTGAGGGGAGGAGGAGGCTCAGAGAGAAAAGGGGAGACTGTGGGGCAGCGTAAGAGGGGCTTCCCCACTAATCCCACACCTGAACGGAGGTCCCAGGTGAGCAGACAGGAACATGAGGGCAAGAGAGAGCAGGAGAAAGAGGGGACATGGGGCTGAGATGTCATCTCTGTCTAAAACGCTCCTTAGCAGCCCAAGGCGACACACCAGGGGTCCACTGTCCCCTCACTTCCAAAACCATCACTGCCCTTACCTTCACCCCACAGTCCTACAGTAGAAGTAAGGGGCGAGGACTTGTCTCAGCTGAAGAGTGAGGAAGTTAGACCCCAGATGTCAGGCGGCCACCTGGGATAGGACTGGGCCCAGAACTGGGGCTCGTCCCGAGACACTGCCGCTGTAACTCCCAGGAGTTCGGTTCGTCTGCGAGGGGCCCCGGGCTCCTACCTGGAATTTCTCCGACTTGGTGTATATGTCAGCCAGATGGAGGAAGACCTTCAGAGGCTCGTTGTACTGCACAGCCCGCTCGAAGGCCTTGGTCAGGGACTCCGGCGAGCCGTACATGTTCTCC